AATATACACCGAGCGTCCGCACTCTATGACTGAAACTAATTGACTAAAGGATATAGGAACACAGTATATAGATGTAAATACCAGATATAGTGTGTGTGAAAGAGGAGGGTCTGAGGAAGGACATTTAGAAGAAAATAGCGAGGCAAAGCATTAATGGCACAAAGAAATGTGGTATTATCTGTTGAAGGTATTTTATAGTTTTATCAGCTATACTAGGGAGAAATGTTCACCTATTGAACTAACCATTTTGTAAGCCAAATAATAATGTGATTAAATGTATAAAGGAAAATGAAATAAAAAAAAATACTTGGTGTTTCTAAAAAGCAAGTGCTTCAAGAAGAATCATAACCTCAGTCAAATAGAATTTTTATCCTAACATGGTCACTGATTCCTCTAGACTTACTACAAAGCTCTTCACAATTCTTGCATCTTTTCCATTAAAAGCATGTTGTTGGGTTTCTGTATTTGCTTTCCCAGGTTTCTGTGGTTTCAATCTCAGCCTGCTCATGTTCCCCCTTCCTGGGCCATGAGTGAATACTGACATGGGCATGCCACATAATGGACATATCATTTTTCCATCCACAGGAGCTTAGGAGGGACCTGATGGAACAGAGAAGGGTTTTAACACCGTTTTGACTGCTCAAGCTCCAGGAGTCTCTGACCCTTCATCTACTATTTAGGAATAGTAAATATTCCTAAGGTTTGAAAGCTAATGAAATCTATTTCTAACCGAATCTTGAAAAAATGACTTTAAAGTATAAAACATGCTCTCTATTTACTCATGAGTGTTATTTCACGCTAGTCTATTACACATTAGACCAAATATCTTGATCAGTAACCTGATCTATCTCACTCTCATGCCAGCTTCCTACTCAGGAGAAGTAGATGTTGCCATGGAAATCTAGTTTGTCAGTGATGGTCTATGCTTTTATGGACAGATTTCTCAAAATCACATTTGTCAGCTCTGTCTCCAAGGTTTGGACTACAGAGTAGATGTCCCTACCTTCCTTTCTCAAAACTTTCATGTCTCAACCTCTTGTTAACTTCCAAGATACTCTGTGTTTTCTTGATCTATATCCCTGAAGGTACATTAGTTTTGCAAGCCCTCTACACCCTAGTCCCAGATCTCACTTCTCCCTGATGACCCCCAGATACAAGACCTCACAAAACTTTCATGGTAGCCTAAGTAGTAATATACTAGACCAATGAAAATACAATTAAAATAAAACAAAAGTAGTAACTTCTGACTTGACTTCTCTGACTTTCTTTGCCACTTGCTTCCTCTCCATTCTTCTAGAAATGGAAAATTTTGTAGATCAAAAAAACCTAAAGAGAACTTGGAATGGAGGGGAAGCTAATGATAATGATCATTGATTTATTCAACAAAAATAATAATAATAATAGTTATCATTTACAAAGTATTGTATCTATTCTAAACATTAACATGTATTTTGTTATTAATCCTTCCAACAACTTTATGACCTCCCATCCTATTTTACAGATGAAAGAAATGTGGCTTGAAAATAGTAAATATTCCTAAAGTTTGAAAGCTAATGAAATTTATTTCTAACTGAATCTTGAAAAATGACTTTAAAGTATAAAACATGCTCTCTAGTTACTCATGAGTGTTATTTCACGCTAGTCTATTACACATCCGTGTTGGTGGCCATGCCCAGGATGTTAATGATTCTCTGATGTGGCTTCATATCTGTAGCTCAGATGGTGATGGCACTTTCACCTTTGATCCTTCATCACCATCTGCCTGAAAGAAGTCCATGATGGGGCAGCCAGTTGTTACTCTAGGTAAACAAAAGAGGATAAGAGACATTCACCCTTACCTTTTCTCCTAGAGCACTCAAATATTGATGACATTATAGACAAACCAAGATTCCACAATTCTCTCTAGTTATTTCAATTGACTATTCATTCAGTTAGAGAATGTCTAACATATAAAATTATGATCTACAAAATTCATGCTGGGATTTTGATTGGGATTATCCCCCTCAGGCACACACTTGATCCTGGCTGACCGAGTCTAGAGGTGGAGCACAATGTGAAGACCCTTTTGGGAGTGCTTATATTTCTCTCTGTGTGACTCTGTCTCTCTGTCTCTCTCTCTCTTTTGAAGAAATAAATAAAATTTAAAAAGAAAAAGGAGTAGGAGGAGGCTATTATCCTCCAGAATTTTCAGACAATTAGACTAAAAGTGCCTCCAGACATTGGGAAGAAGACTCTTCAGGAGGAATGCAGCTCTACCGATGACTTAAGGCTGGTTTTGGACTTCTGACCACCAAAACTATAAGATAATAAATGTGTATTGTTTTGGGGTGACGTTTGTGATCACTTATTATAAAAGCAATGAAAAATGGTACACTCCCTACCTCTTCATGGACATTCTATGCATTCTGTTCAGACTCTGACCCCTTCCTCATCAGGTTTCTCCTGCAAATACACTTTCTCACTATGCTTGGAATTTGACTCCTTAGTATCAGCTCCTATGGATGTCTACCTTATTTTGATTAACTTAATTGATTTAGAATTATATTGTTCAGGAGTGGAAGCGAAGGAACAAGAAGGGGAGGAGGTGAAGAGGAAAGTCCATTGAGGTTTCATGCTGAAGTTCCAGTCACTGAAAAGCAGTGCACCATTGAGACTATACCACCTTTCTTTGAGAGTCATTGAAGGTGGAACTATATACTATAAAGGTTCTTACAAGCAATCTCAGGCTGCTTCCTGTGCTACTTTTGAGCCTAAAGAAATATCTGCCCCTGCTGGCACCTGGGAGAAGGAACATTGCTACCCCCAGGATTGCCTTAATCTAGAGCTCAGTTCATCTCTCCTGTAAGTCCCACAATACTTCTGAGACTAGGTGTGTACAGGAAGGAAGAAATATACAGTATAGAGAATAATATATAATTACTGTATAGGCCAGTCTCAGCTCAAGTGTGCTTTTAGAGTATTCCTCCCATTTTACTCCTTATTATCATCATACCACTAGTACAGTCTACATCTCTCCATGTCATAGAGACCTGACCAAACTGAAATCAGGCTTAAGAACCAGGGAAGTTAGGAGCCAGGGAAGTTTTACCTAACCCTAGACTAAGGCCCATTCTTTAGGAATTCATTTCCCATCAAAAAATTATTAATCACTTCTCAAGATGACTGTAGTGAAAATTTGCAATTCTTTCCCAAGTTATGGTCTTGTTCTATGCTCCAGACAAGACAATCTTACAGCAACACCTTCTGGCCTCTCTCCACCATCTGTAGTCTCCAGAAAACATTTACAAATATTAACAGGAGTAGGAACATCAACAGCAGCTCCTATTAGTTGCAACTGTTGCAAGATCAACCCAGTTTCTCTTCAATGCTGCCTCATCAAAGATTGAAAAGTTTTGGAATCAAGTCTTACCTTATTATTTACTTGCCAAATAATCAAAGTAATGACCACTGATTATTGTTAAAGACTAAAATGATTCTGTTATATAAACTATTTCATTTAGCCTGTTATTGTGGGAGTATTAAGCAAAGTTATTGAGACGAAAGCCCCAGTTATCTAATCTCTGTCCTTGACACTTTCAATATTCCCATCACTATATGTTCCAAGTCCAGCAGAACTAAACTCATTATATCTATTATCCTCATTTATGTCAGAGATTATAAAAAGTCCCAGGCTCACAACACATCCCAATGCGCATTATCTCTTAGGGTCTACTATCTTACCCAGACTCTCTGGGTCTTTTGAAATTCACAGCTACAACTAATCAAATTCCACAAAGGCAGGGATCCTTGTCTGCCTTGTCAAGTAAGGTATCTCTAGCCCTTAAAAAGGCAACATGCACAGAGCAGATACTCCAGCAAATACTTCTTGATTGAAAGAATGAACTCTTATTATAACATTATGAGAAAGGCACAATTATTCTTCTTTTTCAGAAAAGGAAACTGAAGCTTAGCAGATTAAATAATTAATTAAAGGTCACACTACTTTTAATGGCATAACCCAGATCCCCAAACTCAAGGCCACTCTCCCTAGAGTTTACACACACTCTCTGATACCCAATGGTATTTTCCAAAGATGAACAGAGAACAGACTACCAAAATGAAAGAGTGAATGAGGAGATGTAGGAGGGAGGGGGAAAAATAAATCTCTATGCCAAATTTGGACTACTTTCCATAGCAGAAGTTCTGAATTGAATGGTAACATAATTAAATCTATATTTTGGAAAGATCGCTCAAACAGCTGCCAACTAGAACAGTGAAAGCCAACAAATTGCCAGTGGACAGAAATGTCATGTTTAATGGGGCCAAATGCAACTCTAAAATTTCCACAGCTACAGATGACGTCCTTCTTCTAACTTAACTCATTAGACATGTAATTCATTCACACCAGTTCTTACTTAGAAAAAGATCTGACACAATAAATAGTTGTGAAGTTATGCTTTATATATATATATATATATGCACACATATATGTGTGTGTATATTATATATGTGTGTGTGTGTATATATATATATCAGATATTGATTAGACTAAACAAATGGGTTACTTTCCATTTGGGTGCAGTCACAGTTGTCAATAACACTCAGATGCACCAAGCATGAAATTACACAGGATGCTATGCTTTTATCAGGGGATAAGTTGTATCACCTGACACTTTCAAGTACTGTCTGATATGCCATTAAAGCAGTGGCATGGAATACATACATGTCCTCAAATGGACAGCAACCAGATCGTATCACTTCATGTATAAGTGTTCACTGTATGGTCAAGTAAAATAAATGTGTAACTCCCAGACATCTTAGGTCAACTGCCTAGTTGGCCCATGAGGTAAGGCCTTGTTATCACATAGTCTTGCCTAATTAATCAGAAAAAAGTGGTCAAGTAAAAAAAAATCACAGGATACAGGAATTATAAATAATATATATATTAATAGATATTTATTTTCATTACATAAAAGTCACTAATATAAATACTTTTATTAATGAGTTTAAAATATATTCCCTTTATAAATAATGTTAAATATTAATAAATAGATTTAGGTTAGAAAATTCAAATACTGAAGGCAGATTGATCATTATCTGGAAGCTCTCCGACCTCGAAACAGCATCTGACTCCTTTTTCGCTTCTTTTGGTTAGATTTTGGGGTCAGGTCAATCATCACATTGAGGAGTTCATATATTGCCTTGCGCTGGACTTGTACATCATTTACCTTTGGGGAAATAAAACAACAAAATTAATTTTAGGCATACAGCCATTAGAATATTCTGCTATTATTGTCATACACAGTGAAAATAGAAATATTCATTTTAAAAGAAAAGGTGATTCTGACTAGCAATAGGTTACCTTCATATATAGTATTCATCTCTTTAGCAGTTAAGACTTTAAATTATAATTAAATTACTGGTAGTGCTATAGTACAATAAGGCCCATCACAAATACTTAAATTTACTGCTACAGAATGACTAACATTTTATAGTGAAAAGAGCCTTGAAGGAGATTTTAAAAATAAGGTAGGTTTGAATCTGATGTATGTGATTAACATCCAGACACTTAACCTCTCTAAACCTATTTTCTCATCTGAGTAAAGGCAAGATTCTTTATAGGATCTCTAAGTCATCAATCTACCAATTCTATCACTCATATTTATAACTAGTCTTTGTTGTACATATCAAGTGAGTGACTCTAGGTCAATAGTTCTTGCCTTTGGTGTATAGCAGACTCTTCTGGAGACCTAATGAAGGACTCCAAGACCCAGGTGCATGAAGTAGATAGCCTGTGTCACTGTACATTCACCAAGGTCCCCAGGTAATTATATACCCACCAAAGTGGCATGAGAAGCATTGACATAGGTTAAGTACTTGGTAAAACACCAAGTCCAAGACAGACAAAAGCTATAAATTAGGAAATAAAGAACCCCTCCTGTACTCTGCCTTCTATGCCAATAAGTTGATCTATATTGCACTCTAATAAATAGAGCCATTAATAGGATGCCTGCTGACGTATCTCCTTGTAGTTCTTTCAGGCTTATATGAGAGGAGTGAGAAACAAACCCAGATATAGTGAAATCTGGGCACAAATTCTAAGAGAAAAAGTCATATCAAAGCCAAATCTAAAAGAGTCTGAAGGTGTTTGTCTCCTAGATAAAATTTTAGACAACACAATATGTGTTGGTTTCTTTGTTTTGTTTTGAGAGGGATTTTTGCTATATGGCATGTGTGCTCACCAGAGAGACAGAAAGTGAGAAATCACCCCGAGGGGGCATGGCCACACCACAATCCCTTCTCCTCCATTCTTCTCTTGGGATCTTGGCATGCACACACATGCACCCCACATGAGATGAAAGCCACCAAGTCCGGGACTCAAATCATGATCAACTATGTGGGAGTCTAGTGATGTAACCATTATGTCATTTGCTGGTCCCCAGCCCAATTTGTCTTAAAGCTTCAAAATAACTAGTTAATCATTGGGAGCCATCAATTTAAAAACTCAAGGCAATTTCATGAGATAAAACTTAGGAGTCAACAGACTTCTCTAGCTAAAATATTCTAGTATCTGAAAGTTGACAGAACACTCATAAGGCATAAATTCTACTTCTTTTTGTCTATAAACAAACAGCAAACATTCTCACTTCTCATTGGACTACCTAAATCAGAAAAGCTGACCAGAGACTGGCAAGGTGATACCCCTGATGCCTCTTCAAAGGCTGTAGCTTTCTCTTGTCTCATTCTCATTTTTTATCCATGGCATTATAGAATTTTAGAGCAAAGGAGACCATACAATTTATGTCATAAACCCAATAGGCTCCTTTAAAAAAAAGAAAAAAGAAAAAGAAAAGATGAACCCACTAAGCCCTGCCAGGCATGTGATTCATCTGAGGTCACAGCTCCTCAGTGACCAAGTTGGGAAGAGAACACACATCTTCTCACCCCCTCCCACTGCTCTTTCCACTAAGACACATACCCTCCTATCCAAAGCAAGAGAATTTCCATCACATTGCCCCTAAGGGGCATTGAGAAAACTGCTTCTCAGTTCTCCGCCTTAATACTTCATCAACTTCCTCCTTCTAGATTTGCTCATTAACCTCTCTGTCTGTGATAGTGATAATACTAGCATTTTTCCAAATTATACATTTAAATGAGTCTCATACTGACTTTACAGAGTTGCCCAAAGCACTCTGTAATTACCAAGGAATTAGTAAGGAAGTTTTGGGTTCATTTCATAACTTTAGCAACTGATAAATAGCCAACCTCTACTTTCTGTGAATTAAATATTTGGCAGAAGCCTCTGCAATAAAACTGAGGAAAGAAAACAGACTCACTGAAATTCGAGTCAAGTTTAGAAAGACATCCAGTTTAGTGGGACTGCTGTTGAAGAATTTATCAATCATGTCTTCCTTGATGATATCCACACTCTTTTTGATGACCTGGTTGTCTTTGAAGCTTTCGAAAAGTTTGAAGTAGAAAGAGACGATTTGGCTCTGAAATATTTTTTTGTCACTCTCCTTGGGAGAAAAGAGCACAAAAAAGGACAATGTGAATTTTTCTATCAGAAAACAGTAGGAAAATCAAACAAATGGAACTATTCAACTTACCTCTGTCCAATTCTTCAAAATATCTACAAAAAGACGCCCAGTATCCCCTACTCCTGGATCAGTTGCATTCTGGGAAAGAAAAAGGAGAAAAAGAAAATTATTTATAATTAGACCACAAAATACCGTAAAACTGTGTGAAAGTTTCATTGAACTCAGCTGCAGCCAATATTTAGAGATTTCCTTTACACTCCTTTTCTTGAATTCCAACAATTAAATATTCCAGAAAATTTTATTTCAGGTATACCCAAACACTATTATCTTCTAACATTCTTATTTTCTAATATTATCTTTTAGTAGCAATGTCACGAATGAACTCAACAAGCCTGATGATACTTCAGGTGTCCCAAATAACTCTACAGTAGTAAGCTGAAAACATTTTCAAGCCTAGTTAAAAAAAAAAAAAAATCTTCAAAGCCATCCAATTATAAAATACTGCCCCCCTATGGTATAGATTTCCATAACATCTACTGTGACCTCCCACAGGATATAATTATGTCAGCACTGAAAGATAGTTCCAAATGTGTGTGTGTGAAAGAATGAAAGAGAAAGATCTGATTTTACATTGCAAGAGTAGACTATATTGTGAAGCCTTAACATTATCATAATATTATAGCTATAATTCTTAAAGCTAAATTTGGGCATTTAATTGAATATTTTAAATGTGAAAATTATTTATCAACCATAAATAAAATTTAAAAGGAAACCCATAAGACAAATTTTTTAAAAACTTTGAGCCAGAATCATAACTCCTATACAACCCGAGCTACTGACTGAGTTCAGGAGTCACTCACGTATAACAGACAGAGCAGTAGAATGTTGAAATTATTTTCTGGAGAAAAACACCTGTAAGTAATTTTTTGAACCTAACCTTTTACTTTAACTGGTAAATCGTTACCTATTACTATCTTGACCTTTTTGTTGTCACCGTCATAGCAGTCTGAGAAGTCATAAATGAATCATTTTTTTCAATATATGTACGACTCAACATAGCACACTGCATGGATTCTCACCCTCAAATTATCAACAGAATTATGCTTTGTACCCATAATATTCCCATCTTTTGGAAAATTCATGAGTCCCCTCTAACTCTCTGTAGCAAACGGAGCAGAAAGTTAAGCAATATCTACATTATTTAGTCAAGAGAATCATTCAGCCAAGAGTTAACAACAACAAAAAAAAAATCAAGTCTTCCCAAAATGACTGTGGACCAGAGATGACCGTCTATCAGAGATACAAGGGCAAGTCCATCATCAGTCATTGTTAATCATAAGCAAGTACTACTAAAAGGTCATACTTACAAAATAGTTCTTCAGGTTTTGTACTTCTTTCATAAATGGGGCCTGGCAGTAACAGCTAGAAGATCCCAAAATGATAGAAAGCAGGAAAGCCAGTGTATAACTTGTATACTTCATTATTTCAGAGAGAGTAAGCCAAAAGAGTTCAAATCGGTAGCCCTGGTATCGTTGATCAGGTCCAAAGGACTTAAGCTGATTGTTCTTTGCTAATGGCTGATCTGCAGAGGAGCAGAACAATGTACCGCACCTCCTTTTGCTGCTGGTATTTATACCTAATTGAAGCCTCTACAGGATTACGTATTTTCACAAGTTTTTAAAGATGAGATGGTGACAGATAGGAAAGGATGGTAGTTAGTTTGTATTAATAACTATGGTTTTGTGGCATTTTGGTGTTGTAGTTAGAGTTTCCTCTCAACTCCTTGGGTCCATTGACGATGAGGCAGACCCATAATGCCCACCTGTGCCATTCTTGTGGGATCCTTTGAAAGCACTTTTACTTCACACCATTCAGGGTCTGGAAATTTTTTCACACCTCCCGCCCCGCCCTTGTAAAATGTTAACTCTTCATCCACACAGCACATTGATCATTTGTTTGTGGTTGGGAACAAGTGAAAAAGGAAATTTTAGGGCCTCTCAAACCTTTACAAAGGGGGAACCTTTTAAAAGTTTTCTTGCAAATGACCAAAATGCAAGGAAAGAATGTGGTTAAAAGACCAATGTGGTGAGGAAGTCCTGCATCAGAGTTAGTTATTAAAATATCTATCCCAAAAAATGATTTCAAATTTCAAACTTCTCTGTTGCAACACTGCCCAATAGAAACACAGTGCAAGACACACAGGTAAATTTAAATCTTCCAGTAGCCCCATTAATAAAAGTAAAAAGGAACAGGCAAAATTAGTTTTTTAAATATTGTACTTAAACTAATATTTAGGATCATCAGAAAGTCATGACACATTTTTACACAGAAAACATAGAAAAATATGTCACGACCTTTCTGATGACCCAATATTTACAATATTATTTCAATATATATAAATATACAACATAATTAATAGATATTTTATATTTTTTGTCATATTACATCTTTGAAATCTAGAATGTAATTTTAAAGATCATTTCTTGATTTCATAACAGAGAGTGAGAGAAAGAGACAGAGAGATAGGCAACTCCCAAAAGGGTCTTCCCACTGCAATCTGTCCCTACTCTCAGCCACCCCAGATCAACAGGCACATGTGTATATGCCCCTCGCATGCTCAGAGAGATCCTGGGATGTGAACCCAGGACCTTTTCGATGTAAGCCCAGTTGTGTCACTGCTGTACCAACACCTCGCCCCCAGTTTGCATTATTATGCCTGTAGTACATCCCAATTTGAATTCAATATATTTCAAATTCTCAGTAGCTACATGTAGTCAGGGGCTAATGTATTGATCATCAGTTGTTCTAAATAATAATTGATAATGGAGAACATTATTTATTTTCCTTTCAAATAAAAAAATAAAAGAATTCTATCTCCTCCCTTAGTAATTTACGTGTGAAGCAAAAACCCTAGGGGATGATATCGAGTCCCCCCATTCTTTGATTCAGTTTACCTTGCAGTGGGTCACTGATCGTGGTTATGAGGGTGAACTTGAATCCTGGCTTGACTCTATCTAGCTATGTGATTTTGAGAAAGCTTAACTCTTTTATGACCATTCCCTCACTTAAATACAGTAAAATGGACATAACAATAGTATCCTCTCTGAGGCAGCCACTGAAAATTAATCAGATGATCCATATAAAGTGGTAAGAATTTTGCCTGGAATATAGTAATCACTCCATAAAAGCTATTTATTGTTATTTAGGAACATTGGATGACTAGTCATTCGAAACAAAACAAAACACCCTGAACCTTTCCATCTTGAGTTCTCTTTTCTCTCATCTGTGTCCCTCAGAGTGGTATTCATCCAACCAAATCCAGCCTCGTAATCATCATCCCCATGAGTTTAAGAGTTTTTTCAAAATTATTCTTCTCGAAATTAATCCCCATCCGCTATACTGGTCTAGCCCTTCATTCATGCTTTTGTTAGAGTCTGATTCCTCAGTCTCATATTAAAGTTAGTTACTCATGTTACTCATGTATCTTCTCCAATGTTAGAATTAGTTCTTCAACATCAGAAACATCTTTGTTGTTTCTGTGATGCTCTTGTCTTTCCTAAAACTTTTTAGCATGAAGACTTGCTCATGGACAGTCACTGATTTAACAAAGATTTGAATATTAGTTTAAGGATCTATTTTGAGTTATTTACCCTCAATAGCTAATCTCCATACTATCATGTCTAATCTAGTTTAAAATTAGTTTTTAGTTAAATAAGATTTCTCAGGACTAGCAGATGGCATAATGGCTACATCACTGGGCTCCCATGTAGTCAGTCAACCGCAGTTCAAGTCCCAGACCCAGTGGCTTAAACTCACGGCGGGCACTTGTGCACATGTGCCCAAGATCCCAAGAGGAGAATGGAGGAGAAGGGATTAAGGCATGGCCATTCCCCCTACGGGGTGATTTCTCACTTTCTGTCTCTCTGTCTCTCTGTCTTTCTGGTGAGTGCAGGCGCCCTATAGCAAAATCCTCTAAAAAAAAAAAATTACATATTTTAAGCAGATGTTTAGGATTAGTAACTATGTGGCTGAAATCCAAACTCTAACAACTCCTAATGGCATGAAGAAGCACAGAATTATAGAGATTATCTATGGTCTGTCCTCTGACTTTTTAGATTTTTATAAATTAAGACCTAGAAAAACAAAGTGATTACTTAAATATATTTGACTGGCTAATGCAGAGCTGAGTTTAGAACCAATATCTTTTTCTTAATCAACCATCCCTAAATCATTTGCTATCCTTTGAGACAGGTGTATATGCCTCTAAGTGTGTTAGATATATGAATTCAAATAATGACATCTTGTCAGGCCTTGGTTTGAGTAAGAGGCCTGGATTTTTATTTTGCATTGGTTTTTGCAAATTAGGTAGCTGGTCTTTCATCCCAGGCTAACTAGAAAAGTGTCACCTGCTTTTAGGTTTTTATCTTTCAACAGAAGATTCTTTGGTTCAGAATGTTGTCACTACAGTAGTATAACCTTGGGTGATTTTTTTTTTTTTTTGTCTTGCCAACTTTGCAAAGAAATTTCTTTCTCTTTCTCCCTGTAAAACACCTTCTGTTGCACATGCAAACTAGAGGTTTCACACTTTGTAGGTTGGGCCGGTACTGAGACTGCAGAATAATTCACAACCAAGATATCCTTTAAAAGTTTTACAAAGCCACCAGGAGCCAAGGTGTGACCATATTACTAAAACAGAGGGGATGAAAACTTTCTTTTTTCTTTTCAGTTAGATTTTCTTTCTGAAAACTGGCTATGGTTACGCATTGTGCGTCAGCGAGATTTCAGTCAGATCTCAGGTTATTCTCTGTCTTAACTGAGTAGGTAGTCAGTAAGCCAAAATTTACACGTTGGTTGCCCTTTTCCTCTGTGATCAGCAGTCTCATCCCTAGCACTCTCAACCAAATTATCTCATCCAGACTTTGGTGTAGACTTCTTCCACTCAGTATGAGTCAATATTGGATCCATGCCCCCACGCTCTTTTGACTCCCGGAACTCCTGACATCATGCAAGCCAAACCTACGGAAGAAGAGAGACTTACAGAATGGAAGTCCTCGCGGACTCAGATTTTCCCCGAAATTTGACTCATACAATCCCGTGTGTTAGAGGAGAGTTCTCTGACTTTTGGGCATCCATATCACATTGAGGCACAGTACTATATTTTGGTGGTACAGTTATCAATTTATAATAGTCTCAATTTTATTTCAGATAATATTGTGCATTGATAACCCAGAGATTTTTTTTTAGTCATGTTTATGTTCCTTGAGGAACTTTTAAAGCACCTACTAAGATCCAAGTATTAAAATTGGCATAAGGTTATCAAAGAAAAATGGAAAGCTCTGTTGTGAAAGTATTTGTTTATATCCTAATGTCAATTGGTTAGTATGTTCTTATTGAGCACCTGATATATGCCCATTGTTTTATGGGTTAGAAAGTAGTTAACAGTGAGACAATCCTGTTAGGAGCCAATGTCACCACATTAGTAGTTGGCTTTGATGCCTCTGCTCTTTTTGCTGGATAGGAATCCATACTCTTCTTCTCTTCTATATGTGTATTCATTCAAAGAGTTTCATTCAGTTAAGTGGATTGATTATCAGACAGAAGAAAAAACACATATCTGTCATCTATATCACATTCTCTCCCCTATCTGTCAAAAACCACTGATCAGCATGGCATTCTTATCTATTACTTCGAAATACAGCCTCTAAATCCTTCTGAACATTGAAATCTAGATAGATACTGCCTTGTTAATAAATCATTACTAGGACCAGCACATGGTGTAAAGTTTACATCACTGGACTCCCACATTGTCAGCCATAGTTCAAGTCCCAGACCCAGTGGCCTAAAGAACTCACACCTGTAGGAAAAATCTCTCTTAAAAAAAAATAATAATAATCCATAACTGTGTTCCCTCTTGGTGCAAAGATTTGATTGTCGCTATGCTTCTTTGTTGGAGCCTCTCAATGAGTTCTTTCAAGTTATTAAGAAGTATAAAATACGATCTTGGGAACCAGCAGTTAGTGTAATGGCTATGTCGCTGGACTCCCACGTAGTCGACCGCGGTTCGTGTCCTGGACCCGGTGGCTTAAAACTCACAGCGGGCGCATGTGCGTGCGTGCCCAAGATCCCGAGAGGAGAATGGAGGAGAAGGGATTGTGGCGTGACCATTCCCCCTGGGGGGTGATTTCTCGCTTTCTGTCTCTATGTCTCTCTCTGTCTGTCTGGCGAGCGCACGCGCCCTATAGTGAAAAAACCTCTCAAAAAAAAGAAATATGTTGGAACTCAACCCAACCACCCATCAGATTACATAATTATACAACTCCCAAATCTAATATGTTTTAAATGAAGCATTATCTTGGGCCTGTCTTATAGCATAGTGTTTAAGAGCTGAATCCCATCTGCCCTGCTTGGGATCAAATCCTGACCACAGTGGCAAACCATGCCAGGCGCGCACGTGCAAACATATGTGTGTGTGTGTGTGTGTGTGTGTGTGTGTTTGTGTGTGTGTGTGTATGTGTGTGAAAATTCCTGACAGGATAGAGAAATAGAGGAGAAGGGATTGCTGCTCATTTGGGGAATGTTTTCT